TATGGAGTAAAAATCATTCTGAGACTTAGCGTAAGGACTTAACCAAATATAAATCCACTCTAGCCACAAAATCCCCCTGGACAATTTGTCCCATTCTGACCTAAGGATATTTATGGCTGGAGAACTTTCCTCCAAGTGTATGCATGTCTCGCTCCCTCCCTCCTTTAGGCCTCATCTCTCTTCCCTGCTTTCTCTCCACTGAACTTATTACCATATAATATACTATATATTTTTTTACTTACTTTTTTATTTTGTTTGTTTCCCCTCACTACAATGAATACTCAGGAAGACATGGATTTTTGTATCTGCAACTCCCGCATAGTGCATAAAGCATAGTATGTATTCAATAGATATTTGTGGCATTGTTGAGTGAAAGAACAGATATGGAAAAACGAATGGTTCCAAACTGTTCACTTTAAAATAATTTAGATCACAACACAGTTCTAAGCCAAATATGCATGTTCTTTCCTGGTGGCGGACAGCTTTTGTGTGATGTAAATCAGCATATGATGGCTAAGAACGTACCTATTAGCTGTGCAACACTGGGCAAGTCATCTGACCTCTATGCCTCAGTTTCCTCATCTATAAAATAGGGACAATAAGTCTGTATTTCACAGGATTATTGTAGGTGCTGAGTTAATACAGCATATGTATTAACTGGCATATAGCAATTTCTATATGTGTTTACTACAATTATTTACTTTCTTTTAATAGAAGAGTTTGGCTTTGCCATCCAATATGTCACCAAAGACTCTGAAGACAGACCAGATATTTGGGGGCTTTTCTTCAAACTTGCATATCTGAGGTTTCACTGTTTTCTTCTTCAATGGCTATCACCCTGCCTTCTTTGTCAGATCCTTCTCTAGTGCTTGTCTTCAAGCCCCTTTACCTTTAGCACCTCACACTGGTCACCTTTTATGTGACCTTTTCTCATCTTAACTTCCTTCTGCTATCCTTTGTGGCCATGGTCCTGGGCGTGGAGAATGTGCTCGGCTAGCATATCTGTTCATCATTACCTTAATCAGCTTTGGTATTTTCCCTGGCATTCCGTTCCAAGGCATAGTTTATTCCATTTTTCACTGCGCCACACACAACTGTATTATCTGAATTTCATCATTCTGCAATATCCAGCCATTGCCATATCCTTTTCTGTCTCTGACTGTGAAATCTGTTCTTTGTCAATCATGTAAATAACAGCAAAAGGAGAACCAAAAGTCTTTCTGAAGTGTCTTTAATTGACATTTTACCCACTTACACTGATGACGAGAACATGCCTCTCTCTTTGTATTCAATCAGTTTCTTTGAACACCCTACTTCCATTTTCTCAGTGTGGACTTAAGAACCTAATGGAACCTGGACAGTGTCTTTAAGATGTTGGAACGAACTGTTTCCACGAAGTTTAGTTTCATGGGTATCAGTATCTGGTTGCTCTTAAACACCAGTTCAAGCTCTGTCGCTTCACCATCCCAGATCTTTGAGGTCCAGCAGCACAGGTCCACGGACATGCACCTTTGGGCCAGCTCCTTCTTGTCGAGGGAGCTGGATATATGCCCATGACCTTGCTATCCCCGGTGCCTGTTGGAGAGCTCAAGACTGCTGCTCACATTTTCTGTACTTAGGACAGTACAGAGAAGCTGCCTCCAGGTAAGAAATGGTCCCTGTTTAAGTAGTCAAGACTCATTTGAGCACTTAACAAAATGGAGAAAAATGTTAAACTAATATTATTCTTACATTAAAAAAATCCTCCTTTTTTGCTGTAATGCATTCCTGGATTCAGAAGCCCAAAGAGGAAAAGTGGAAAATCAACTCTTTTTCCTTATAGACTCTATGTTCACTCCATAGCTGACAGTAAGTTAAAAATACTTGACTGGTAAGAAAGGTGAGAAATGGATGATTCAGTTTCTCTAAATAAAGAATCTGCTGCTGAAACAGAAGGCTGGTCAGACCCAGCATGGCAAGGAGCTGCTTTTAGGTAAGTTTTTAGGCAAAATTTAAGGTAGTGAGAAGCAGGGCAGCCTGTATCTAGACATAGAAACCTTTATAAAAGTGACGAAAATGTCAACATGACAATTTTGTAGGAAAAAAAATTTAACTCCTCTTTCTAATTAGAAACACCAAGGAGAACACAGAACACAGGAGCTCTTGTTAGAAACCTGGACTCTTTTCCTTTCCTTGGTTGCTCTGCCTGGTTTTAGATGCCATCCCAGGACCTGTTTGTGACTCTGGCCTGCTCTTCTCCCACAGACAGCTTATTTTTGGCTTCCTGTCAGTCAAGGTGCTAATTGTGCTTATGAATACCTCTCAGCTATTCTTAGCACATTGTTTGAAACAGTTCTCCCTGCCATTTAGAAAATGAATTTTGACTTTTTTTCCGCAGCCAGTGCTGACACTCCAGGCTCCAATGGGTTGAGAGTTTCTACTTTTGACTGTTAACTTTTATGACCTTTTAGTGCCTACCTCTTATACTACAATTTTTTGTTTGTTTGTTTTTTAGCCACAGCAAACTTTCTTTTTTATTTTTGAAAAGACATTTTTATTTTAGAGTAGTTTTTAAAAATACAGAAAAAAAATGAAAATATGGTATGGGAGTTCCCATAAATCTATCACCCAGTTTCACCTTGTATTATCATCTGATATTAGTATGGCACATTTGAATTTGAACCAATATTGATATATTACTTTTAACTAAAGTCCATACTTTACTCAAATTTTCTTAGTTTTTTCTTAATGTCTGTTTTCCATTCCAGAATCCCATGTGAGATACCATATTACCTTCAGTATTCGTGTCTCCTTAGGTTCCTCTTGGCTATGACAGTTTCTCAGACTTTTCTAGTTTTTGAAGATCTTGACAGTTTTGGGGAATTCTGGTCAGGTAGTTCATAGATATCCCTTAATGGAGATGTATCTGATGTTTCTTTATGAGTGGACTGGGATTGTGAGTTTTGGGAAGAAAACCACAGAAGTACCATATTTATCACATTTTATCAAGAGTACATGCTGTCAATGCGACCTATCACGGTTGATATTTGCCTTAATAATCTGACTGAGGTAGTGTTTACCCGATTTCTTTACTGTCAAGCTAACTTCTCCCCCTATTTCCATGCTGTAATCTTTGGAAGGAAGTTATAATACACTGCCCATACTTAAGAGTGAATGTGGAATTATGCTTCACCTCCTTAAGGGAGAAGTACCTACATAAATTATTTAGAATTCTACAAGGGAGATTTGTCTATTCTTATCCATCCATCCATCCATCCAGTCTTTTAAATTTAATATCAATATATACTCATGGTTATGTGCTTTATATTTTAGGTGATAATCCATTACTACTCTGTTGATTTTGTCACTCAAATTGAGAAGCGACATTGTTTTTAAGTAATCACTTGTTACTCTCCTCTCCCCTTAACATTTTTGATTATTATAAGCTGAATTATATGGAGAGTTTAAACCATATCAATTCTAGACAGCTATTTACAGAGGTTTCTTCCAGATTCTCTCCTTTTTTCCTCTTCCATGATCTCAAGACATTTCCAAAAATAATTTATGCTTAGAATTCTTCCGATGGAAATGCTTTCATTTTCAGAAAGCTTCCCAAATTCACTGGATAATTGTCCTACCTTTTACTCTACTTTGCCAATTTAGTTAGTTTTCATCATGTCTTCTGCATAGCATCTTGAGCATCAGCACTCTAAATATGATCTGGTTATCAATACAAGGCACTCAATATTCACAGTTGAGAAAATATTAAATAGAAACATAAAAGTATCAAGGTATAAAAAAAATACTCTTTTCCTTTATAGCTAGATAATCCAGTTTAACTTTCTAGAGATAGGAGACAGGACAGCAAATTGTCCAAACTATAGTAAAAATCTATTTCCAGAAGGTATTTTGAGGGCAAATGGACATTCTGAACTCACAAATCTGTTGCTCATTGTAGAGTTTTCTTTATTATATTTTTCAAGTTCATCCTGAGCCAGAAATGCCTGTGTGACTCCATGTGATTGAGGTTCTGAATTTTTACTTTCCTACCACATTCAACTAGTTGGCTTCTTTTGCCTGAGGAAGGAATGGCTTGTTATTATTTGGCTAAAATGTTCCATCTATTATAATAGTCTTCACATATTCTTCTCTATTGATTTACCAGTCACCTGTGTAACCGTTATTAGAAATGGAGCTTAGAAAATCTGTAATTACTCCCAGACAAAATACCCTTTTAAATGTTCTTCCACTGGTTCACTTGAATCCAGTGTTCCTTAGGAACAATTTTCGCTTTGTTCAGTAGCAGTCACTGGAACACTTTCCACAAGAGAGAAATTAGGTGATGAGTAAACACTTCTAGCTTACTCGTTTCATCCTGGCTGCCTTATAGTGTTTCTCCTCGGTGTGTCTGATGTACGACGTTTAAAAAGCCAGACCACTCTTTTGTGACTCTGTGGGGGCTTCCCGGTTTATTGCCTAACCTTTCCAGTGTTCGAGGATGGTGTAAGACACATTTACCTGTTCTGTGGTCTTGCAGTCATCATTTATTTATTTATTTTTAATTATAGTTCGTTTCACAAAAGGATTTGGAAGTGACAGGCTTCTAGTTGGTATTTTCTCTGGGGCCCATATATGTAAATATTATGGGGGGTGATACCTGGTTACCCATTTATGAGTCTAGCAGTGTGTGGTGGAGTATAAGAGTATACAACTATTTTGTTTATTTTGTTGCTCAAAATGGCAATCAACTTTATTTTAAGGATAAAATAATTTCCCTATTGCTTCTCTTAACATTCTTGATTATGATAAGCTGAATAGTATGGATTAGAGAGTGGTGGTAGTGGTGTGAGAAGCAGCACTAGAAGATGGCAAAGGGGCCACAGATGTGGTGGTGTAAGACCTTCTCAGCACATGAGGGTCTGACAATGCCTAACACAGGGAAAACCCTTATGCTACAGGTACGTATGCCTGCTTTCTTAGTCATAGAAGCACTGGAGAAAGACACACATGTCAGCCCCACGCCCCTGCCTGCCTTTGTCCGCACTCTTACCCTGTCCTGCAGGAAACCCAGGGCTGACATTGAATCCCTGCTTGGCTTTCCCCAAGAGATCCAATAACCCGGGGTTGCAGATGGTGGAACAAAGACCCTTTAGGGGCCAAAGTGAATTCAAGATACTTCCTAAAAGTCACTGTTCTTCTAGTCTCAGCGTTGTCAGGTTTTGGATTATAAATCATTATCTACTCTACTTATTACCCCGCTCTCAGGCTGTTAATGTATATGGTGCCTTTTTGCAGATAAAGAAATACATCCCCTCTAGACAAACTGCACAAATGTGGCCCCTCTGTGCAGCAATTTGGGAAAGTCCCTCCTTCCTGCAGGCTGATCGAGCCCCTCACCAGGATACCTCCAGCAAGCACGTGGGAACCTTAGCCCCCGTCCTGTCCCTCAGGTGATCCCTGCAGAACCTTGCATGCTGCCTGTTGCAATCTTGCCAAAGACTCCATTAGAGCCTTCCTCAGAACAATGCTTCTCTCCAGCCATTCACCAGGAAAGGAGGGCTCTCTGGGAACTGCTATCCTAACATGACCAGACTGTTAAGACAGCGTCTATTTCTTCATGTTTAAAATATGGCAACGTATGTGTGAGCTGCCTTAGGGTCTGAGTGATATGGCATTCTATTTTTGTCAGATTGCTCTGGGTTTTACTCCATTTTTCCCCTTGCCTACAGTGTCCCGAGAAAGTCTTTCTGAGCAGTAACGTGTCCCCTTTAAAAAATCAAAGCGCCCATGCAAGGTCAGAGCCCTTGAAATGAAACTATGCAGTGGAATGCACGGAAGCCCAGTTGGGCATGGCATTGTCAGAGCTAAGTGAGCCTGATCCTCCACCACATAATTCTAATTTAATTAGCCTAATGAGTTCAGGCTGATGTCACCAAGTGATCAATCAGGTTCGAGTTATGAGATATTGAAAAATGGGATTAGAAAAGAAAAAGGGCATTTGGCAAATTGATTCCAGGACAGGGGAGCTGAGAAGTCCTGATTTAACAATCGGACGCTTGCTGTTTATTTTTTTCTCTCATCCCTTGAATGCTAAGTCATAACAAAGCCTGCTTAAATGTGCTCGCTTGCTCATGTTTCATTGGAATTCATTTTGTAGTTCCCTCTCTGTTTTGATTTACAAATGCTTTCTTTTCGGTCACAGTAAGCCAGAAATTCTACCTTGCATGAAACATTCCAGAAGCAATGAATGCCTGCTATCTAGAAAAATCAAATGTCCCTAAGGAATTTTTGCTCCCTTAGACATTGTTAATATATATCGTGAAAAAAAATGCAAAAGAAAACATAAGTTTTAATGTCGACATGTAACATTAGTTCCATTTAAACATTAAACTCTGTTCTATTTAGTTAGTAAAGTGGGTGATTGGCCAAAGAGGGAATTTTCATGTGTGGATTTTTTTCTCCTCTTTTTTCAAATGGTTATTAAAGGGAGAAGTCCGTGAGTCATCTCAGGCCAGAAACTGAAGCTGTGTGAGCCAGACATTCTTCTAGTTCTCAGAAGGTTAGAAATTAGGTGAACTTAACAAGCTTGGCCAGTTTTCCAGTTGACTTGCTGTGTCTGAGGTAAATATGGGTATCTGGAGCATGTGGAGTTCTGCTGTTCATTTACAAAGATCTAGGGGCTTGTTTTTGCTTTTTAAAAGGTTGATTTTGTTCTTAAACTTTGGTCAAACTTACATAATAGGTATGAATTTGATCCTCAACTCTGGGAGCAGGAATTTTTATATTTCTTTATGTTTAAATAAATCTGGCTCTATTCCCTTTTCTCCCCTGCAAGGTTGTTGGGAATTTAATCTCATCCATTTTGGCCTAAAACTTCCTTTGGTCATTCAAGGAAAACGAAAGTCTTAAGCCATCCAGAAAATCTGAAGAAGGGCCACTGGTCTCGCTGCTGAAATGCTCCATGGGAATCATGTGGACTTGGTGCCACAGTTCACATGTCCAGCATGGCCACAGGATCTTTGATCCCTTCTGGGCCAGAGGGCCCAGGGCTTAGACCTCGGCTTCATATTCCCTTATTAGCAGTCCCAAAGTGCATGGAGCATTAAGATCCACTGGAATAGAGCCATGCGTTCTGGAAACTTCAGAGCTTTCCCCTTCTCAAACAATCCAGCTGTTTACTTTGGGAGCCTAAACTTGTGGAAATTCTCTTCCTTGTCATAAATCCTTGCTCTCCCCTTGAGGTGGAGGTAGGAAAATTATCTCTCATTCTTTCACAATAAACCTACATAGTTAAAATTTCAGACTGTGTCTCCTGTCATTTTTATTTTTTCTTGATTTTTTAAATCTTTTTACTCTTGAACTGCTGAGTAAGCTACCAGCATGAATAAGTTAAGGGTTATGTCGCCAGGGAACAGTCTTTGATGTCTGTGCTAATTTTGTTGTTGTTTGTTTTATCTTTTCTTTTCTTTTTTTTCTTTTTTCTTTTTCGTAGGGGGAAGTGTGAAGTTATCTTTCTCATTGTCCTCTTCTTTAACTCCAAGTGCAAAGTTCTTCCAAGGGCAGGCTTTGTGGTTCATGTGGAATGTAAATAGCTCTGATGGCCTCATTTCCAAGAAACCTTCTTTAACCTTAAGGCTGAATGAACTAAATGCATTCTCCTGTTCTCTGCTGTATTCCCAGCAATACTTTGAGCATATATTTAAAATAAACTTATTACACATACCCGTATCTCTAGGCAAAGCTCTGATTTCTCGTCTCACTCATCCCAAGGGGAAGGTTCAAGGCCAAGGACTGTATTGGAACACAGTCCTTTTACAGGGGGATGGTGGTATAAATTTTAACATGATAAAAGAGTACAGAAGACCCTTTCTACTTTGTGTGGCCTTTGGTCTATGTTTGATATCTTCTCTTTAGAGTCAGTGTTTTAGGTCTCTTCCTGATTCATTCATTGCTTTATTCATTCAACAAAGTTTCCTTGTGGGCTTAATATACATCAGACATTGTCTAGTCCCTGGGAATAGCACAAAGATAATTGAGGCAATACTCTAACCTTCTAGCGTTTATGTTAGTGGACTGTCTCTCTTGGAACTCAGATGGTACAACAAGATAGACTTGGGCCGGCCTAACTCCTAGGAAGGGTTCCCCTGCCCACAGAAGGCTAACTAGGAACTAGGATTTTTTTCACCAGAAAAGTAGGCATCATTCACATTTGTGCTTTCATAGCCTATTCAAAGAGCTTACAGCTCAAAAATTGTCTTTCCCAGCCCACCTTTCCTTTGTGCAGCAAATACAGAACACTTGCCACGTGCATGGAAATCTGTGCTGAATGTAATAGAATCTCTAAGTCGTGAAGACTGTGTGTATGTCTGGCCACATCTCTGTGACTGTATCTTCCCTGGGAACCCAGAGTTCACGGATCTGCAGGCGAGGCCGATTAATAATTTCTGATCTGGAAGCACACATTGCCCTCTTTCTAAACCATTTTAGAGGAAAAACTGCCCTATCATTACGTTATTTCAATAATTTGTTCACTTTGTTGTCTCCCTAACTAGACTCTAATGAGCGGAGATTATGTTGTCTTTACTCTGGTATCCTAGGGAAATCTAGAAAATTTCCCATGCATATCCTTGTGGAATGAATGAGTGCAGACATACATTCAGAGATAAAACAGAATGGTGCTGAAACGATTCTCTTCTGCATTTCAAATAGCTATCATTTTGTTCTGAACTAAGTAACAATTTTAAACTTAGGAAAATATATGGATATAGTGTGAATAGATGGAGGGATGTTAAAACATTTCCTTTACTCAAGGTGCCGAACTAGGATCTGTAGATGACAAAGCAGGGATTTGACCTGAACCTGGGGTTTCAAGTGTGTGACGGGGCAGATAAGTCACATACAAACAATGAAATTTGGTTAAGATTATACATACATCTATTTTATTTATTTTAGTTTTTTAATAGCATCATAGTAGTGACCACTAATTTACTTATGGGCATGAGTAAAGGTGAGACTCAAGTGTTTGGAGTTGTTTACAAAGAGGTACTTGTGTCCTTCGTGAGTTCTAAACAGTTGATCACATGCAGAGAGCATCCACTACTGGGTGAGAGCCAAAGGGTGGAGGCAAAGCCAAGGCCCTGTTTTTCTCTCTGCCTGTCATCTTGAAGGACCTCATCTCACCTGGTATACTCAGCAGGGAGGATGTTGCAACTCAGAGGACCCAAAGGAAACATAAAGTCTTGTTTTCTATTATCTTTTCCCTCCCCCACCTTGTTGGGAACCTTAAAAGAGTCTAGTTTTATTTCTCTAGCTTTAAAATTCTTGTACCCTCTGTTGTGTTACATACGTTTTTGTCCTGATTTGGATTGCTTAATTCTGGTTTTTGACCTGTGTTCCGTATAATATCCTTCATTATTTTCAAACTTGCCTTGATGATAAAAATTCTCTTATTTATATAATTTCCCACTTATTATGATACCACATGTTAATTCACTGCCTTTGATTATCATCTTCTAGAAAGTGCCCCTGGCTAAAGCTACTAGGTCAGAAAAATCTGGCTACCTGATATTTTGTTAAAATATAAACACCTTGGGAGGCACTGTTTACTTGTGAGATTTCAGGTTCAGAATTTCTAAGAGGGCAGCAGCTGCCTTAGGGAGAGGGAAAGGGTATTTTGAAAACAGTGTCAATTTATGCCAGCATGGCATCAATGCCAAGATTGGGGATACTAACAAAGCATGGTTGTCTTCTTTACACTGTGTCAGGTGGATTCTGTACACATTTACAGGTTTTTAACTAGAAAAGCTATATAGGGAAGGAGAAAACTCACGGCTTCCTCGGAAGCCATGATAAACATTCAGAAATGTCTGATCTGTCATTTGGAAGAGAGAGAAAAGCTGCAGGAAGGACTGTGACCCAAGTTCATTGCAAGATATGACTCGGCACATTTTTCCCGCACAGTCTTGTGCGTCAACTGCTTATTTTGGGGGGGAGGTCAGTGTTCAAAGTGACATTTGGGAGCTATGCCTGACTTCTGCCTGGCTCTGAACAGATCTGGAATCTTTTTCCTTTGAGATGGGTTCAAATCCATGGGTTAATGACATTCATAGGTCCATAGCAAATGCTGGCAAAATTTTTGCAAACGTGGGCCAAATTTTAGTTTCATTATAAAATGTAAAGTCAGAACTGACTTTGAGTTTTGGACTAACATTTCATGCAAAACTAATCTGCAGTTCTTCCAGATGGGTTCAGTGTCTATGGCATTCTGCCTGCTGCTCGAAAATGTACTTGGTGTATAAGATAGTGGTGGGGGAGGCAATAAAGTTTGTTTCTATGTGGGGAAATATGAAGGCTTTGGGATTTATGGCAAGAAAGAGTTGGATTTTTTAAAAAAATGCCACTGTAACAGCAGCTTTATCTAAATAGTTTTAGTATTAGTAGAGGGAAAATGGCAGAGAACCAACATTTTACTGAATGATTTATGCTAAGTATTGTGCTCTGTGCTTGATATATATTATCTTATTCATTCATTACAGTACCCCATGAAGAGGGTATCCATTTCTTTTTAACTAGGGACATAGTTCATTTACTTCTGGAGGCTAGAAATCATCTCTGTCTCTGCTATATATCAGATGTTTGTGTCTGTGAATCAATTAACTGAAGGATACTTTGTGGTCAAAGAGTCAAAAATACCTTCCAGTGAGAGGCAGGCCCAGCTTGATTATGTTTCCGGTTTATGAGCAGGGCTGTGGTATACAGTAGTGCAGGTTGCTTACTACATGAGAGTCTCTGGTCCGGGAACAAGTGAGAATGTAATGTAACCCGCAGTCCACTTGCCAAGCTTTGCACTTTGGTGTAAGACTGTGTCTCCTGGGAGGCAGGGGCAACTTTTTCTCATTTACTCAGTATGTTTGCTCTGCTGATGCGGATCCCTTATGACAAAAGAGCAACCCAGGAAAGGAACTTTGAAACTCTAGGTCATTTCCCTTCCCTTCTGGCATCTTGGAATGTTCATTTCTTCATTTCTCTCCTTCTCTATCATGCATCTTGGGACTGACTATCCCTTGGAACTCCATTTGTCCTGACTGCTGATCTCTCTTGGGGGCTAGTCTGGAAACGTGGCTAGGTTAGGAAGTACTTGCCTTTCCTGCTCCTTCTCTCCACTCCCTTCCCATGGGCCTGGTGAGCTGACACTGATGCATTGCCCTTGCCCTTTCCTAGACCTTGCTCTTTAAAAATTGCTTAGATGAATATTCATGTCATTCTTTTCTTATATGCTTTCCCCTAAAACTGCATGGATGGCCAGGAAAGTATACACATTTTAAAACCTCAGAGTTTCAAACTTTGGGCAATAGTTTAAAGAAAAGATTGGTTGAGGTGCTGTCAGTTCTTTAGCAAATATGTTCGGCTGCACAGGTGAGTTTTAAAAAAATGCAAAGAGAAAAGGATTGTTGCAAATTAATCAACAAATGTTTATTAAGCATCTGCTTGATTCTTAGCAGTGTGTTACATGCAGAAATAGAATGTAAGATATTAAGACATGAAAATAGACTTATAACTTAGTTTAAAAAGCTACAAAAACTATCAGTATAATATCTCTCATATATAATCTAAGTGTTGTG